GAAATGCCCCCAATTGTGGTAGATGATGCAGTGGTTCTGAAACTACTGTCTAAATTGAAGCCAGGTAAATCACCTGGACCAGACGGACTTCACCCTAGATTGCTAATCTCTTTGGCGGATATAATATATATTCCACTTACGGGCAAAGTTAAACTTTAGACACCAGTAACAACCAATCAGCAAACGACCTTGAACGGACCAATCACATGAAATAGGCGTTTATAATAAGCGGTAACGTATATTTATAGAAAAATGCATAAAAAATGATAAAACGGTTAAAATGGGTTTCTTTCCCGAACATGGGAGAGAAACATTCCCCAATTCAGCATGGAACTGTCAATAGAGAAGTCACACCACATCATAGCCTTTCCACTCGTCGGTATGTACAATTGATCCCGGCTTCACGATTCGCTTTATAAAAGCTATCAGAGTAGTTGTCTTCCTGTCTACTATTTTTTCAACAAATCTTTTTCGGAGGGGCGTGTCGTATAAACCCATAACCCAAATATTGTTCGCTCTCTGACGACCGCCATTGTATTTCTTCTTCACCAACACTGTCTCATACACAAGAACTACTACATCGTCCCCGCCTAACAACGAAGTAATTCTGTACATTTTCCATGAGGCGATATCTCTGCAGTGCTGGTACCACTGAACTGTCGAGACGACGCTGTTCTCCGTCTCGGGAGCAGCGGCTCTCACGGACTGTTTCAGTAGCCAGTAATTGTAAATGTACAAAATCTGGGTTAGGGAGAGATGCGACCGAGCAAAAAAGTTCCTACAAAATATTACCCTCTCTAATACTAACTCACTTCCAGCATATTCCCCAACGATGTACACAACCATCAGTTGAAATAGCAATTTTTTAGAGTCATTACACAACCACACGAACAACTTCTCTCCTTTCGAAACAAGCCTAAGTCCAGGCAGTACTGAAAGACAATATCCTCCTCAATATGCAAACGTAACCTTGTAAGGGCACGCACTGAAATGAATCAAGCGCTATACAACATTTAACTACGTTCGTGAATCTCATTGGATAATTCGACGTCGTTGGCTGATTGGTAGTTACTGGTGTCTGAAGTTTAACTTGGCCCCCAATCTTCAGAGATGGGAACAGGCAGTTAGTATCTAACTACCGGCCTGTAAGTCTGACCTACATTATAGCTAAGGTGTTAGAAAAACTCATAGGAAATCCGCCCTTAGCTCATGTGGAAAAACACGGCTTACTGGTAGTGGAATAGCATGGATTCCGACCAGGACGATCCTGATTGACAAACGCACTGTTAGCTAGGGAAGATTGGGTCGAGGTCAGGGATAAAAACCATCTACTGGACGTTGTATTTATCGATCTTAGTAAAGCATTCGATAAGGTATCACATTTAGGTCTTCTTAGTAAACTTAAACATTTTGGATTAGATCAACGCTTATGTGAGTGGTTTAGTGACTACCTGATGGATAGGAGGCAGAAAGTAAGGGTTAATGGTGTACTGTCAGGGTGGAAAGCAGTACTAAGTGGTATACCTCAAGGAACTGTACTTGGTCTCATGCTATTCCTATTATACGTAAATGAAGTGCCAAAAATTCTTACCTTATCTTCCTTACTATTTGTGGACGATATTAAGATATGGAAAACAGTAAATAGTAGCGATGATAGGTTGGTATTACAAAACGATCTAGACAAATTAACCGAATGGGCTAACCTTTGGAGTCTGGAAATTAATTCCAAGAAAAGCGCGGTAATGCACCTAGGTCAGAAGTCTTACACGTCGTACTCCATGGGGGGCACAGAACTGCCAGATGTTAGGGAACAAAAGGACTTAGGAATTATTGTTAGCCATGACTTAAAAACAACGGCAAACTGTAATCGAGCCGCAGCTAAGGCTTTTCGAATGTAATGGGCACTTCGAAGATCTTTCAAGCTATTAGACGAGGGTATGTTCCAAGTACTCTATGCAACATATGTCAGGCCTTATCTAGAGTACTGCATACAAGCGGCGAGTCCATGCTTCAAAAAAGAGGCACATACCCCGGAAAGAGTAAAGAGGGTAGGAACGAAATTAGTAAGTGGTATCTCACACCTTCCGTATGATAAGAGGATGGAGCATTTAAATCTCTTCCCATTAACATACCGAAGGAGGAGAGGCGACTTTATTTTGGCTTACCGTATATTCAAGGGTGATTTGGGGATTGACCTTTCAAACCTTTTCTCTCCCTCGAGGAAACATTTACGGGGGCACCAAAAGAAGGTGCTTAAACCAAGGTCGAATAAAATACGTGTGGAGTTTAGATTCTCTCACAGAGAGGTCAACGACTGGAACCGCTTACCTGATTCAGTGGTAACAGCTCCATCGGTGGACGCTTTCAAAGAGAAACTGGATCTCTGCAGAGTTATATATCGCGAAGATTAACACAGGCAACAAGAGCCTTCTATCCTTATCATCTGAATCTGAGTCCTGTACATGAACTCATCGAGATAACTGTATATCATTGCATTTCTTGATCCATTCACAGATCTGATACGTTTTTTTAGGTGACTCCAGTAACTTTCGATGGAATTTGTGTGAGTTCCATCGAAAGGATTGAGAATACCATTTGTATGGTTGACCACTTGATGAATGCAGCCCAGATTCGATAACTGACTGTAACTACTCCATTCATCTGTATGAATAGTCGTCCCAAGCAGCACTAAGCGCTGGATAATTGGCAATAATACACCTGCACTGCGATTAGGGATCGCCTCAATGTATCCTTCGTGGAGGCTGGTGTCATATATCACCGACACTCACTGCTGATTTACACTCAATCCACCTCGATTATGTTTTCTTTTTATCAAAAGTATCTAAGAAATCTGTAAATTAAAAACGAACGAAATACGTTCTCAAACTGATTTTCTGGTTCGGCACTCAAATCACCAAAAAACAAACCCACCGATGCACCTTTTGAATCTTTGCATACGAATGACACCTCCACATTGTCAATTTTTCGACCTTCCTATCATTCCGTTCTCCAAACAGTAATCAAAACAAGATCTGGAGCGAATTTGCAACGGAAAAGGTGTACAGCACCCATAAGTACGTCTGGATAATACGGAGTCACCTGATTGGTTGCTCAAATTCATTTGTCCGTTCTCTGGTAGTTTCGGTTTGAGCTGTTATTCTTTAGAGTTGCCCATTAAATAGGGTATTTTTCTCTGAGATAAAAATATGTCCCACTTATAATGGGTAGCGTCAGCTTTTAAATTAAACCAATTTCTATACATATGTTCATCAAGGTGACTAAAAATAACTTGGTTTTGAGAGCCATTTATTGCTCTTATTCTATTTTCTGATCTTCCCCAGAAACCCTCTATAGAATTAGTACGAGTGCCTTTTCTGGGATCGACGAAGTCATCGGAATGGTTAACTCGGTCGTGTATATATCCTAAATCCGATAATCGGTTATATGCTGCCCATTCATCCGTGTGTATAGTAGTGCCAGGCAAAATGAGTCGTTGAATAATAGGCAGAAGAGTGTCGGCACTCCTGTCTGGAATAAATTCAATGAATCTTTTCTGAATTCGGGTGTCATAAATTTCCAATACCCAAAAGTTGTTAGCTACATCCGCGATTGTATTTCTTCTTTATAAGCACTGTTTCGTCGAGGTGAACGATAACACCGACTCCTCCCAACACTTGTGTAATGTTATTCATTTTCCATGATGCTAAGTCCCGACAAAATTGAAACCACTGCACAGTAGACGTCAAAGTATTTTCTGTCTGAGTGGCAGTTGGTCTCACTCCGGACTTCAAAATCCAAAAATGGCAAAGAAACAGTATATTCGCCAAAGAAAGTTTTGATTTGGCACAGAAAAATCCTAGAGGACAATTAACTGAAAGTATCAGTACGAACACTTGTTCGTTTTCTACACTCAGTACATCTAAGTATATATTCATCAATGACCTGTGACTACGGTTGCAGGCTCATTGAAGCACCGCAACTATAAATGCGAGTACGTACCATCAATCTATTATCCATACAGTATTGGAATATGTGATCTGGGTGAAATTTGCACCTGAGCACATGATCAGGGCTCATTTTCGCGCTAGAATAATCATAGCTTTCTTCAGCCATCCACTGGCATGCGTTCAAGGTCATTTGAGCGTTCGCACTGCTGGTATGCTATTCCTGAACTTCGCAGCCTACCAGTCAGCTACATTCAGAAACATCTGAAATAAAAATAGCATCTGGCACGGAGCTCACGATTTAGGAAGGAGCGGTTCTGAGCTGTGAATTTAGTCGCTGTATGAAATAAATGGGCAGCATACCGCGACCAGAACACTTCGGCCCATGTCTTGCTTATAGACCTTCGATTCAGTGTCTCATGACATCCCTTTATGGAAAGTCTCAAAAGTGGGAATTGATTACCCAATACTTTGATTGAGAAGTTTTCATAGGACAGAGAATTTTGCACGATAGCGAATCGAGTATGCTCGATATGGGTAAAAGTGATCACCGTAGTATCAGGTGGATAGAAATTTGCAATCACCACGGCACTACTATCCTGGTACTAGTCACACATTCCGTCAAAAGCAAACTTATGTACCTCCTCTTTCTACTTTCAGCTAAGCTGCAGCAGTCGATGGTTTAGACTGAAATGTAATCCGCCGAAGACTTAAGTGTTCCAAAAGAACAAGAAGGGTGAGTTGAGATATTATACAGTTTGTAAAAGCTCATCAATAGGATACTGAATATTTGAAGGGTACTTAAAAGAATGCGGCTACATCCTCTCACACGGCTTATGAACGTTAATCCAGCTCAAGCCAAGAAGACAATTTATGTACGTTTCTTTACATACTTTAGTGCTGTACAGTGTCACTAAATTAAAAGTAACAAAGTACTAACTGAATTTAATGTCCTGGGTCGTAATAAACCAAGTTATCCAAGTCTGACCGTAGAATCCAGCTGCACAAATACTTAGAGATGTTCAGGATTTGGTGCGTCGCGATAAAGCACGCCACTAAAGGCAATAATCAAGACTGGGTAGTAACGTTTAATCCATATCAGCGTGTTTTTCATAACGCTTCTCTGCACAACCTCAACGTGACTCTGCAGAATTTCTTTATTGGAACCGATTATCCAGAATTTGTACTATTTTTCAAGCTAATTTGTATCAAACAGTTAACTTAGAAATAACTAGATGCCTATCACTAATGTATGTTCATCGTCCTACAATGTTTATCGCTATTAAATCATCAGCTGGCTAGGATCATGTTGTAACGACGGAAGACAAGAGCCAGGCAACAGATCGTTCATTGGGAAAATCAAGAGGTCTTTATCGATTTTTATGTACATTATTCTTAGCGTTATTGTTGGCAGCGAAGCAACGTCTTCTGACTGGTTGTTTTCTTGCTGAAGGTTATTCTGTACTGCTTGTGACCGTTTCTCAGGAAATCAGGTCATATATCTGTGAATCATATTTCTACACTTTAACTCCTCTGTAATTGGTTGGTGAGTTCGTCAAGGTTAAGCTATGTTATTGTTTTTTCTCATGACCCCGATTCGGGACGTAAACACTGACGTAAATTGTTGTCTACAATTTTGGCCTGCAGACAACTCTCACCACAATATCAGTAGATATGACTGTCAACAATATGTTACGATTATTATTGATTATCATCAAAACAATTCACTTCAATATAAGGGAACGAAATTTAGTAGATTATGCAAACATTTTAAGGCTGACTAATTTCTACTATTATTATTATTATTAAAAAGTAGAGTGTAACATTGATTTACTCAGAAAGCAACTACATATAAGAATTTTTGCCTTGATTAGTTGCATCTGCTACAGTCTATTACTTACTGCATACCACTTGGTGCGGTAATGCTATTGTATTTCAGGAACAGAAGTTTTGTTTTAGGCTGTCTCCTTAAATGACAAACAGAAAAGTTGGAAATTTACCGGTTACGCATATGAGTGAGAAAAGTTTCAAGAGAATATAATGATCTTTTACTCTGTTCTTCTGATTATTAAGTAATAATAATAATAATAACAATAGCACTTGTATGAAGTAATAGAGAAAATTACAGGAAAGAGATATTTTCACTTCAATGAAATAATGGTTTAATGGTTTCAAAAGAAGTAGTGGTGGCAGCAGTATTGGGTGATAGTGACAGACGGGTAAGTAAATCAGTCAATCACTGTGAATAACAATGCACATAGGGAGTTTTATCAATCATTTTTTGTCTGAAAGTGAGTATTACCAATAGTGATTCATAAAATGGTGGTTAGTTTGTCCAGAGCATCACATACAGTAGGATCCTACAATACGAAGGTTATTAAAAGGTTGAAGTATTTAAAAAATAATTAATAAGTTCAATTAAAATGTCTTGCGTTCTAATCAAACTGTTGATTCCAGTGGATAGTGCTGACTAAGATTACTGGAACTGAAACAAAATTTTCTACTATTTATGGAAATTATTCGATAACTATTAAGTGCAACCTAGTATTTCACTGCTAACCATAACTAAATGTACAGTCATGTTTTGACGATATATATATGTTTATATATATATATATATATATATATATATATGTATATCATAGGTGGAAAAATGCATCCATTGAATTATACCTTTAGACAATAATTTCAGAATATTTAACAATGTATTTCTGTTATACAGGAATAAACGAAATCTAGCATGAATCACACTGTACAATATTACATTAGCTATATTTTCATCACTTTTACAGTTTATTTAATTTGCCACTGACGTGCTATCCTACTTATTCAAGAATAAGTAGTCTCGCTACATCACTTCACCATACATATGTGCTACTTTTTACCATTGACTATTATATTACCATTATATTTCTAGTATATTAATTCTTAAGTTATTTTAAAATACCTTTTCTAATTTTCAGCTAGAAATAATTCAATCTGTCAGTCTGATTTTACAGTTAAACTGAGTTATACATTACATGAATGGACTTTTAGTAAATGTGGAAAAAATGTCTATAGTCAAGTAACCTAAAGGTTTTGACTTCCACTTAAAGATGCAAAAGTGATTAACTATGACATTTTTTTAACTGCATTCTAGAATAAACCTGAGCATTTCTTGAGTAAAATATTTTTTGGGAATTTTTTTCTTCTTTAGAAATATATATGTATATATTTATATATATGCATCTATTCTATTTCATTTCATCAGTGAGCTGTAACTAAGATAATAAATGTTATATTTGCAAAAACGTTTTTCTGTTGTTTCAATTAAGTTACATTTTATAAACAATTGTGATCAAAACAATAAGAAATGATGGTACAAAAAACCTAAACTTACATAAGCACAAGCCTGTAAAAACTCTTCAAAACTAATTACACCATCTTGATTCAAATCCAGTCTCTGTGAAAAATGTAATAATGAATTAGGTTTGTGCTTAAACACTTTTAGTTAGATACATATTCATGTCTTATATGTATATTTGAAGTTGAATATTGGAATATAATTCACCTATGTTAACAAACCTCTTGAAGGTGACGACATATTATTAAATTAATTGTATGGGAAAAAGTATTGTCTTCCAAGTCACACTCATAGATTATTCTAAGGAGGTCTCAGGTTAAAACGCATAAGTGAGCGACCATATCGAATATCTGTATCTTACTGATAAAAATATGACACGAAAGTTTTAAATATGTAAATATAATGGCTTGTGTGAGATATGAAGAAAAATGAAATGCTCTTACTTTAGAGCGATAATTAATCACCCAGAATTATTAACCTACAGCATTCTTCATTCAACACTGGGTGATGACCTTCACTGTCTAAGTCGACTTGTTAAGCTGAAGGTAGGCGGTCAAGCATTCACTTCATTTGGAACACTGTCGTGTTACCTTCAGTCATTTTTACACACACCCTAGCTAGTCAAGCAACCATTATCGCTCTACATTTCTGATCCCGAATTATATCTCACATTTTAGACGACGAGTTTGTTGCTTTGATTTGTCTTTGGTCTCGGTAGAACAAGTGCCTTGGGAGCTTACGTTTGTATACAACTTACTGACGTCTTTCAGTTCTTAAACTTCGAACTCATGAGATTTATTTCCACCAGATTTCAATGGTTATATGCTTTTGACCGAAAGACTGAGTAATAAGCATTTTCATATTTCTCATGACGTTACGAGTGACCTACTCGGTCTTTGAGCTTAAGTGACGGCCTCAAATATCTGAATAAGTACTCTGAAACCTAACTTCATTGCCAGTAGATAGTACCCGAAAATACTAAGCTTAGGTCCTTTTAAGCATATTTTATGAGTAGTGGATTTTTTGAGTAAATTATGAAACTGCAAAGTGACACAATTTAGAAATCATGGATTATTGGACCCAGTCTGAAGGGATAAATTGTCAAAGAGGCTTAGATTCCATCTATGACAGTGGGGTCACGGGTACGTACTGTTGAGGAATCCCGAACTAGGATAAAACAACTGTCCAGTACTCCCTGGTTTTTAAACGGTTCTTTAACTGACATCAGTCCGTGATCAAACTTAATGTACTAAAAATTGTGGAGTAAACTGTTTTCTAATATCTCTAAATAATATCAAGTAACTAATTCAGTTTATACTGGTAAGTGAGAGCAGCTTAAGAGCCATTAATAAAACACGGACAACAGTGGATAACTCTTTTTTTTAATTCAAAACTATCCGAAGACTCACATCCATTATCATGTTCAGGATAGAATCAAGAAACATCAAGATTTGCTAATTAACCAATTTACCATCCAGCTACAGTGCTGGACTCTTATCTTTGACTTTTCAAAACCCTACTTTTAACTTCCATTAATTGAGAACATTATAAATGATGAGCTACTTTGATTAATTCGAAGAATTGAAAAAGGTAGTGGATTTTACCAAGTGGTGTGGTCGGGGGTGGAACGATGGATTTATTCCTATATCCTGGACGGTGATCTAGAAGTAATATTATTGAATAATTTGATGTATCTTTTCAGTTATGGGCTATCATATTGCAATTCTCATTTTTTTGAAAAGATTTTTTGTGAGCAAAATAAAAATAATGACTGGTTTTACAATCCGAATGACTCATGAATCATACTAATTCTGTTTCCGTTTTTATCCTCACTATGTTTTCGTGTTATTTTATCAAGTAAGTCTATGTTCAAATAAAATAGTGAAATACCTATCTGAATCTCATAGGTGGTTCAAGGAAACAGTACGACTGAAATTTGCAGTGAGCTATCTCTAACCAAGTCTCTTTCATTTATCTAGGCAGCACCGTTTCAACTAAATGTGATGCTAATTAGGACGTCAAAATTAACCAGGATCGGAAAGGCAAGACAGACTGTCATTAGTCTAAAACCAGAGTGGAAATGCGTTGCAGTCAGCATAAGAAATAGGGTTCGAATTTTCAGCATTAAGTCAACCCAGTCAGTGCTTCTGTGTTGTTCAGGAACTTGGGAACGTGCCGTCAAATGTATTTGTAACAGCCTGCTGCAAGCTTTCATCACCATCTGTCTCCTTTGGCTGCATACTGAAGATCATATGGCCGGTCACTAAGGGTTAGCAACAAGAAACTGTCAAGGAACCAAATAAGAACCTATTGCTCAACAAATAAACCGAAACAAATGGAGATGGATTTGATACATGCTGAGGAGACCATTGACTGGTATCACACTCAAGGCCAATCCAAGTGGGGGAAGACGAGTGTGGCTTTCGTCGTTGGTACAGAAAACAACGTGTGAAATGGAGACGAAAGTTATGGGAGACCGTGAAGTCAGGTGAAAATGATTGCAAAGAACAGAGTGAAATGGAGATGTGCTATTGAAGCTCCATGCTCCACTTGGAAACTAAGAGAATAATAATAATTGTCCAAGGAAACATCTGTTTTAATAATACTTACTTGAAATACTCTTTCTACATGATTAGCAGTAGTAGATTCATTAATTGGTGGTTCTGTATTTCGTCCAAGTAAATCATAAATAGCATTAACAACTTTCAACATTTCACCTTTAGTTACAAAACCATCACCGTTTATATCATATAATCGAAATGCCCAACGTAGTTTATCATTTTGTGTACCGTGCATTAAACATGATAAACACTGAATATATTGCTAATAGAAATAAACAAAGGGGAAGTAGGTTAGCACTATAGTTATCCACTTGATCATTTAATTTTTATGTTAGTGTTTAACAGAAGAGAAAAACTGGTAAAATAGAATAAATAATAAAAACCTACAGGCGTCCAACGTTTACAACTCACACTCAATAAATCCTGCTAATAGGCAATCAAGTTTCGATTAAATATTCATTTACCTCTAATTGCAGAAAATGGGAACAACTACTCAGAAAGGAATCATAAACACTAAGAAAATACCTTGACTGGTCACCAGTTAGTAACCAGAATCATGTGTTTGGTCCTTAGTTTGGTGCATTCTGTCGAATATATCGTCACAATTTAACACTCATTAATACATTTTATAATCTCCTTACGCAATAAATTTTGCACTGAAGAAAATTGTTTGTCATCTTTATACAGTTTCCAAATTATTATTATTATTGTTCCCTTGGGTTCCTAGTGGAACATAGGGCTTCAACTGCACGTCTCCACTTGCTTCTGTCTTCTGCTATACTTTTCACTTGCGTCCATGTTATTCCATACTGTTTCATCTCCTCCTCACACGATCTCCTCCATGTCACCCTTGGACGTCCCACTCGCCGCCTCCCTTTCGGGTTCCACTCGAGGGCCTGACGCGCGATGTCACCCAACGGCCTCCTCAGCGAGTATCCAATCCATCTCCACATTCTCCTGCATATTTGTTGAGCGACTGGTTCCTGTTTTGTTTGTTCCCATAGCTTCTTGTTTGTGATTCTTTCCGGTCATCTAATCTTCAGTATAGAACGAAGACAGTTGTTGATAAAGGTCAGCAACAGGCTGTTGGAAATATTCTTTGTGACCCGCCAAGTTTCTGATCCGTATAGCAAAACTGACTTGACGTTTGTATTGAAAATCCGAATTTTGTTGTTGATGCTGAGTTGAGTGACGAAGATTTCCAGATTGGTTTCATGTTGATGAATGTGTTTCTCGCCTTCCCGATTCTCGATTTGACATCCTCGTCCATTCCTCCTGTGGTTGAGACAATGCTCCCTAGATAAGTGAAAGAAGTAACCTCTTTCAAATCCCTCCCGTTGATGGTGATTGGCGCTGGATGTTGCTGCTGTTGTTGGTTGGTTAGTTTCATAACCTCCGTCTTGTCTATGTTCACCTGGAGTCCTGTCTTTGCTGCTTCTTCGACCAGTTTGTCGGTTTTCGCTTGTAAGTCTTCGATTTTGTGTAACATCAAACATAAATCATCCACGCGCGAAATCCAGGTCTTCTAGGTTCTTCACGTCGGTCCAGGATATCCCTGTCTTCTCGTTTCCCACTGTTTCCAAATGCATTTTATTATCTAATACACATATATATTCCCTAAAATTTTCAGCACGTTGTAGAAACACCACACTGATTACTTCGAGGAAATTGAGAATTCAGATAATTATACCTCTGAGTTACTAGACAAATTAAACTGTATTTCCTTTACACTAGAAGCACGTAGAATGGAATGAATTTTAACTGGTTCTGTAAATAATCCATAAAGACCAGAGCCTTTATCGGAATTACTCATATCCTCAGAGCTACTAGTCATTATTCAGAGATGAAGCCATAGCAGTTAGCTTTCGTCTTTGTAGTCTCAATCATTTAAATGTATAGTGAAAACTGTTTTACTTAAGTTTCAGTCAAAAGTTAACTTTTGGTGAAATGAGAAAAGCTAACTTCACAGACAGTGTCTTATAATTATCAAATCCATTTGTTACTTTGTCAAGTTTCGTTGATAATTGATAATTTTCACTGATTCAAATAGGGTTTGATTGCATGTGTTTTCTGAACTTTTCAGTACACAGCGATTTATATGTCTGATCATTGGTTTACTGGAAGTTCAGCTGTTCTGAATACTGAAATATTCATACATACATAAGTTATTGATATGTTAATATATAGTATCTGGGTTGGTGGTTCACTGGTAGAATGCTTACAACCACCCACATGGTTGACGGTTCAATTTCCGGCTGTCACAATACTATACCTCGCTTAGCTGGTAGCAAACCCTGTAAAGAGAGGAAGTTGACCGGGAAAGTAGCATCCCTACTCTGTGATGAACACGCCACTGCTACTGAAACTTCAAGGTTTAAGTATGAAGCCCTTTGTTTAGGAATGAATGCAAATGTACCCATCTTTTCGTACCACAGCTTCTTTGCAGTCAATATATGGCTTGATTTTTAGGGTGAACGAAATTCTGTATGGTAGCACAATTGATAAAGGATACACAAATAATGATGTTAAGGACATATTGTTTGAACATTTAAAGTAATCAGTTCCTTTCTGTTTAGGAAAAATGGTCGATAACTAAAAGTAACTTTAAATTGCAAAGCAACATTGTCAGTGAGAACTCGATAAAAAGATTATTCGAATCACTCTACTTCAAAGATTAAAAAAAGGAATTAGTAAATAACTGAATAACATTTCTGTTTTAAAAATTCTAAACTGTAGAAAAAACGTTGCATACTATCTCCCGTGTTAAGCAATACGTTCTTTTGAGAAATATTCAGGGTAAGATAGGAAATTCAGACGATGAGGTTTTGAAGATACATCGACTGATATAAGAATAAAACTTGTGCAGTGTGGTAGAGTGTAATTCCATTATGGGTAAATTTTTGTTTTGATAAAGTCTTACAGTGTTATACAGTAATGTTAACTGATGACGTTTCGAGCACAATTTATTGCTCATAATCATATCAAGGTATTCACACGACTTCCTAAATTCATTTATATAGTTCCATTGTTTTTCACTTGATTTTCACTTGATTGGATTCCAAATAAAGACGGAATTAGGGTGGCATTTAAACCTACAAACTCACTCAGGGACAAGCTCTGTAGGTTAAAGGACCCAGTTGACCCAATTAGACAAAATAGTATAATTTACAAAATACCCTGCAATGACTGTGAGTGAGGTCAACTACATAGGTCAAACTAGTAGGTCAGGGGTAGTCAGATTGTCAGAACATAAGAATTTAGCTAAGGTAAGAATGGTTGACCCAGAGAAGATAAGTAATTTAGAAAAAAGCTCAGCAATTGCAATGCATGCATTAGCACACAACCACACAATAGGGTGGGATAGGGTTAAAATTCTAAAATGTAATCTAGGTAGGTGGAGAGAGAGGTTGATTACTGAATCCTTGTTCATCGAATCTACACCCAACACATGCAATAGAAATGAATCGTCACTCATACCCGAAATATGGAAAATATTACTACCAATCAAATCAAGTGGAAAACAACGGAATTATATAAATGAATTTAGGAAGTCGTGTGAATACCTTGATATGATTATGAGCAATAAATTGTGCTCGAAACGTCATCAGTTAACATTACTGTATAACACTGTAAGACTTTATTAAAACAAAATTTTCCCAAAAATGGAATACATCGACTGAGATGGCTAAGACACCTGCTACGCACGCCAAGTCACCGCTTTCCTCTACCAGCAATGTCAGGTGACATCGGTTGGAAAGCAGCGAGGGGTTGGTGAAACAAAAACCTTCACTCAACACATAAAGTCTCTTACAGTTGGATTTAGCCAGCTACGTAGGGGGGATGTAAACTGCCTGCCTGGGGAGTTCAAGATGCTTAAAGCCAGTAGCTTGAGACTGTTGATGATATAGATCAACTCGACGTCAATGGTGCAGATGAATTCACTCTTTGTGACCTCACAGACCCATTAAACCCTCATGCTTTTCCATATGACTATTCTTTCTCGCGCACATTTCTGACATAATAGTTTTTTTGAATTTCTCTTTTTTTGATTTTCTCTACCTTTGTGTACTACGTGCAGTTGTGATGGTGTGATACAGGCAATGTGTTCCAACCGAATATTATTCTCACACATTCTGACAGTTCAATACGGCATTAGCCACAGAATACAATATATCTGTTTGAACATTCTGTTTGTTGCTAGAGTCAGAATATTATTCGCACAGTTCAATACAGTATTAGCAACAGAATACCATATATATATTTGAACATTCTGTTTCATGTCGTTTAATGTAAACCGAAATCACACACTCAGTGAATGGTTGGGGAATATAAACTGTATATGTAAGCAGCGGTTTGATCAATTGAAAAGATACCCTGACTTCCGTGTCTTGCCTTCTGCTGTTACACAGTATGGCAACTTGGACTGTTGCAATTCTGTACGAAGTTATTCGGAAACAATGTCAATTATTGTGATCTTCACAGCTGACCAGTGAATAAATGGTTATAATATTTAGTAGATTAAGATCCCAGAACATTTAGTCTATTTTTTCTTATGTACCTATCAATGCGAGCATTAACCCTTAGCATCTGAGTCCGTAATATTTTACTAAAATCTCTAAATTAAAAAACTATCACTTTCCATTCCTTTCAAGTCTGATCATAAACTGACTGCATTTAGAGGACCGTTAGAAACTGGGGAGTGCTGGACAATTGCTTCGTCCTTATTTGGGACTCCAGCAGTACTCACCGATGATCCTACCAGCATGAATCGAACCTATAACTTTCAGCATTACAAATGAGTCGAATACGTTATGATTTGGGCAGGTTATTTTTCGCCCTGTAGGTAATTTAAAGGAAGAGACTTTAGAAATACGGTAACGAGTATCGGCTGAATGTTAATTTACTGAGCTTCTTTTAGACCCAATTCACTTCTTCGTAATTAAGTAAGATAGTGTTCTTCCACCCTTTTGAACAAAATCGGCGTTAAACAACTGATACAGCTAGCTTCCCACGAACAGAAGAACTGACAAATACCCTACTTTGACCCTATATATTTTTCGTTTTCTTATTCAGTTTGTACATTAATGCCTTATTATTTTGACTGTTATCATCAAAGGCATGTAGTCGATGATACGTCATTTTAGTTGTTAGTATAGCCAGAATTCTATAGATCCAGTTTGTATTGATTTCATTCACTCACTTTAAGTTATTTATTTCTATAAAAATAAATAACGATGTTCATAGTTTAAGTAAAGCTTTTGGCTTTATTTACATTGAGAAAGGAGAAGCAGAGATTCATACTAAGAAGAAACATTCGCTTACTATAATTTAGTAGTTAACAACTATTTAGTAGGAAAAATAAATAAATATGTATGTAGTATCAACTTACTTCAAATGTTAATGTTCCATTATGTTCTTGATCGAATGATCTGAATACTAGCTGAGCATATACAGTTGCATCTACAATTTTATAAGCAAATAAAAATTATCTTATACACATATCCAAATAAAATTCACATTTAATAGTGTTTTAAACAAATTCGGTATATGATATTCATGATTATAAAAGTTTGTGTTTTTACCTATAAAAATGGAGTGACAAAACGATTTTTTAAATTGCCTAGTTAAGAGAAAAAGAAAATAGATGTTTTAATATGTCTACACTCAGAAAGAAAACATACTCAAACAATTACTAAGACTTTAAATCACTACATCTAATCAGTGTGAAGATATCATTTGTCTCAAGTCTTCTAAGATGATAATAGATGAGGAGGAGAAAGAAGAGGAAATACCAAACACTTCTGATATTCTCAATAAAAATAACTACCCAAAGAACTTCGTCAACAAAATCAACTCTGACATTAAATATGATCGAAAAAATTCCAAAGATATGAACCTTAACAGTTGTCATTCCATATAGATGAGAAACGTCAGCCGATATCTGAAGAGTGCTCAATAAGCACAATATCCGTCTTTACTTCAAAAGATCAGACACACTACAAAGCAACCTTATCCATGTAAAAGATCAAATTTCAAAGGATTCTCAATCTAATTGAGTCCATATGATTAAATGCTTAGAATGTGGCGCGATATTTATCAGACAAACCACACAAGAAATAAAAGATGAGAAGAAAGGAACATCACTGAGGCTGTGTTTAACTGTCGAGAAATCTAGCAGGCTTGAAAAATCGTCATCCATAGGTCTACACGCTACAGAATCAGATCACAACAGTTTTTTTTCAATAATGAAGTCATCCAGGAAAATTTCGAAAATCACAAAAGCTTTTCATATCAGAAGTAATTCTAGTAAAATTGAATCGTAACTGTCTGAGTATGAATGAGGGATGAAGACAGAATTTGACCTGGTTTCGACATTTGTCGGCATGAATTGGCAAAATCAACACATAAGATAGGCGATTTCACTATGTAAACATATGGTATCATACACTTATCATATCCAACAATCTGCACATGGTTTGTTGTCTTTACCAGTCCATCCGTTTGACAACGTAAAATTACCTCAAGAGTGGTGACTAAGCTAATGTACATAAGCTGAAACTGTGTAAGTTCTGGTTTAATATTACTTTGATAAAGCTATTAGGAGAATTAAATAGAGGTGCGTCAGTAGAAACAATGTCGTTTCGTTTTTCCATTCATTGGGAAATAGACAAACTTTTATAATAATAATTAACTTATCTAAATAAGACAGAATTAATCAAAAGTGGTGTGTTACACACCTTATAGTTACGTTTTATTTATTGACGACATCAGGTATCAAATATGTAAATCCATAGTTCAAAGATTTCTAAATTGTATAAATCTAAATCGAGATCATTTTAATGATATTCTATAGATATATCAGTCCTAATTCCACTTTTCATTTAGTTATAGAGGCCAATATTTCTGTAATGTTTAAGTAATGCGTTTCTTTCTTAACACCGAACTGAAGAGTCCCCTATTCTGCTTATAAATTCAGACATCAGTCGGAAATATTATAAATTCGAAAAGCAGTATGAAAGAATGCATAAACCGTCTATTCTACTAGGATATAATAATAATAATGGCTTTATTCCAAACAGTATTTGTGGTACAGGTATGGAATTTTCAGCGTTCATTACAATATTGCATCTAATTACCTCATAAATTTTTAAGGATTTAAAATATAAAGCAACAACAACAAAAGAAAAAAAGAGAAATAAAAGAAATAAAAAAGAACAGCATTGCATTCACATATTTAAACAATGCAGCACAGGATATGATATATAAAATTAGTTCGTAATAGAATATATGAGCAACAATATAATAGTAACAAAGAAAGGAGAACAAAAGCCAATGGGAACTATTTGTTAGAGTGCCGCAGTAAGTTGATCGTGTCATACCTAACAGTTTTCTCATCACACAACAGCTGTGCCAGATAAGGTATTGTGGAGTTTTTATACTTGGTAGTCCTGGCATATAGCTTCCTATAGTTGCTTCTAGTTCTACCAGATGAAATGCAAGGAGAGAGCTGCGTATGGAGAGGGTGTTCGGGGTCTGACAATATAGAATTCGCCAGTTTCTTACATGACATTATATGTCTATCCACAATTGTGTTAACCAGTTGGTTTAACGAAATCCCACTTCCCCTACTAACAGCTTTTAGTGCCCTATGCAGCGAAGCAAAGTCTTTCTTAAGCAGTCCAGGGAAGATTAATGGGGAGCAGTAGAGAGGGATGGGTAGAATACAGGAATTGACAAACTGAGAAAGCAAAGACTGCTTTATACCAGACTGCTTAAACTTCCTAACGTAGAACGTTAAGCGAAACATCTTTCTAGTCACTAGCAAGATGTGAGAGGACCAGCAGAGATCGGAGGAAATACTCAGTCCAAGGTACTTGACATTAGATGTAGTTTCAACCTCTATGCCGTCAATGATAGTGGGACCATGTGAGCTAGCCAGTTGTTGAAGGTCACTTTTTCGTCTGAAAGTAAAATTTACTACCTGACATTCAGACGGATTCAGCTTAAGACCGTTTGAAGAGGACCACTGACTAATTTCCGACAGAAAGTTATTTAATATGGAACAGTCTGACTGAGAGTTGACAGGCATGGAGACAGAGAGGTCATCAGCATACTTGACAAAATTTGCTACATCAGAATGGGGCAAGTCATGTAAGAAAAAAGAAAACAGAAAAGGAGAAAGAACAGCACCTTGAGGAACACCAGCTAAAGTAAGTGTGGTAGTGGAGGACTTTCCATTGTAGACAGTGTACTGCTTCCTATCAGAAAAGTAGGAATACAACCACTTATTTATCCAGCTCTCACTCTGTGTTGCAGCAAGCTTACTTAACAAGAGAGACCTAGGTACAGAGTCAAATGCAGATGTGTAGTCAAGGAAGGCACACCGAACATATTTGGCTCCTCTATCTAAACTAGAGACTATATTATGATATAGAACTACAGCGGCATCTAAGGTACACCTACTATGTTTATAGGCAAACTGGTTGGGGTCATTAAAAGGCTTTAAAGAGGGTTCAAGATTAAGTAAAATAAGTCTTTCCATAACTTTTAAAAAAGGTGAGGTAATAGCAATGGGTCTAAACTTGACAGTAGGTCCACTTGTTGATTTGGGCACTGGAACAACCTTGATATTTTTCCATGAGTCAGGAATAATACTTTTGGAAGAAGATTCATTGAAAATGTCGGTTAATGGGTAACATAAGATGTCAGCACACTTCTTAAGGATAACAGCAGGAACTCCATCAGGACCAAGGGACTGGGTAGGTTTGAGAGATTGAAGACACTTGAGGACATCATTCGTGTTAAAACATGAGAAGCAGTCATTATTTATACTATTAGATTTGGGAATCATAACATCTGCAGGGATACATATGAAGGATTTATTAAGCATATCAACATCAACGGAAGTATCATTCATTATTTGCTTACCACCTGTGATTTCCTTTAATAGCTTCCACATATTAGATGAGGATTTACATGAAAGAAACTTCTGGTTGTAGAGAGCATTTAGTCTTTGTAATTCGGCTTTAATTAAAGTGTTCATTCTCTTAACGCCAGATTTATTTCTCATTTTGTACAACCTCTCTTTTTCACGGCGAAGCTTTTTGAGTTGAGAAGAGGCGAAACGGTCGAACTTTAAGAAGATTGTCTCTTTAGGACAACAAACATCAAGACAGAAATTGAGATAATGTGTCATGTTACTAATTGTGTTGTCAAGAGCTTGTTCAGTAAACAGGTCCCAGTTTGTGTCTTTTAACATTGTCCTTAGATTCTGTATGTTGTCGTGTGAATAACATCTGTGTTGTGTTATCTTTCCAAGGTGGGAGAAGACCCTTTTTTGCAGCTTTCCATATACCTTGGGCAATACTCTTATGATGCAGTGATCAGAGTTAAGTAGTGGGGCTCTTTTCCGAGCTTCAAATATTCCAATGTCATTTGTGAACACAAGATCTAGAATATTATCCATTCGAGTCGGGAAGTTGACTGACGAGAACTTGTAAGTAGTATGTTGTATGTGTTATCTTCTGTGAGAGACGGACTAAGTTACGAAGAGAAGGAACGAAAGATACTTGTGCAACAATATAGAAAGGATTAAAAGCAGACAACACAGCATAGTATGAAGAACATCTGCAAATGGAGATTTCATTATTAAGTATTTTAAATATGATAGCTGTACATCATTCTGCCAACTAACAGCAATTCTACTACGAAATACTGTCGTGTTCTGACGTTCTACTGTTATCTACCCTCAACATTTCTTAGGAAGACGGCAACTAAGACTAAGTGAAGTTGGAAAATTCGTCTATCCTTTCCACGTTGGCTTTACATTTAATAACTATACCATTATAGGTAATTAATGAGAAAATTAAACTTCCCACTGGATTTCATACAGTAAAGGACAACTATATTTTAACGACTTTCTGTCACAAAAGGGAGGGTTGCAATAATTTTACAACGTATACAACTGATTGATTTGCATAATAGGTAAGTATCCACACCATCAAAATAGTACTAGCTGACCATTTAATTAAACAACGAAAATTTATTCAACTCTTTTGTGACGGAATTCAATGGCTTTGTCAGCAAGTCACCTCACTTGCAGTAACGGTATACACGAAACTGAATCAACTGTTTACAAAATAAAGAATTTGTGGTGATAACTCAGAAGGAATTGCAAATAACAGTGAGATTTTATCTGAGACGTAACACACTGTGTGTGCAAACCATTTTGGTGAAATAATTATAACTTAAAAAGAAATAAAAATTCTCATAAATACAACTGAAGGAATAAGGAAAACTATAAATAGGATTTAGTTCTATCCTTTAGACTAAGCACGGCAAAAATGTATTGTTATAGGTGTTGGGTTGATGAATACACTGGCGAACTCATTATTCAAGCGATTTATCAACTATTCATGATAATGAATATATATAGAGACCATTAAAATTGTGGATAAAAATTAGTCTGAGCATATTTTCTGTTTCTATAATATAACCGATATCATCTTAATGTTAAATATTTTCTAATTAGATAACTGAGATAGTTTAAGCTTAATGGACGCACTTTTCAACCACGCCTAGTTTACTGGCCGGAAATAGTAATCCCATAAAAAAGGGAAGGTTAGGCGTGAGACTAGCAACTAACTTTGAACTATTCACATACAAATAGGTAACAAGAGGTGTACTGAATGTGATAACAAGACTAGATAGTTAACATAGTTTCTCTTAGATGACATTTATTTTCATTTATTTTTAAGTATTAGATTGCAGGGGTTTGATTGGTTTCAACTTGGATCATAGATTGATGTCAGTTATAGAACTAACAAAAACCAGAGAGGACTGGACAGCCGTCTCTTTCGACTTTGGAACTACTGAGCGATCAGAGAAAGAAGCTATAACCATCAGGTTACAAGTTGAGCTTGTTGACCATTCAGGCACCGGGAAGGAATCCAACGGCTGTCAAATGAATTCTAACCTCTGTCACTCTGTAATTTTTAGCACCACTACCGGCCAATTTCATCGGCGAGTATTTGTCTTCACAACTCCTTATGGTAACGACTTCTCACCAGAACTCCAGGCAACTTCGTCATGTAGTCAGTCACTAGTGAATTAACCACAAGAACTTCTTTAAACATTACTTTGTCTGTGTGGTTAAATATAGTGTGAACTTGATTTATAAGCTTGACACTTTATTCATCTTGAGTTTCTTAACTCTAAACATGTATACGATCCTTTTCCAAACCAGAAGACTGCAGAATATTTTTCATCTTAGCATGGTAAGTGTTCTTAAACGACCAATGATTAAACGAAATGGCTTTTCTTATATTTAAAAGTGGCTATCTTTATAAAAACACTTAATCTAGAAAAGATTTGTTTAAAAGCTTTAGGTTTTAGTTTTCTTTCAAAAGTTTAGAAGAAAAAGAAAGAATGCTCTAATATTTTGTCAATATTATGTCGTAGCTTTGACAGAAAACAGATATAAGAAGTGTATATTACTATTTATTCAAAGTGGTTAACTAAAACAGTGTTAGATGGTGAGAGGCAATTAACAGCAGGAAGCCTATCACAAGTAATTCGTATAGTTTTGGCGCAATTCCATCAAGTAAAATGCCAAGACTTCTTTCTTGAAAAGTGCAATTATAAAAAATATTAAAGTTATGCTGATGATTATAAAATTAAATTAGGCCATGAAGTCAAATATACATCCTTAAGAGTTTACTGTCGTAGCTGTCGCAAATCCGGATTATGATATGTTACTCGCCATCGAGAAACAGTAGTGAAGGAAATCTAGATGAAACAAAGACTTGAGCATCAAAATGATCACACTGAATCCATTCGAAGTTCAAGATCCAGTGATTCTAACATATGTAAGGTATTCCGCAATACTTCAGTTACTATCATATAATATCCAAAACGTAAGGAAATCAGTTTTGTTTAGTGACAACTAGGCAAGTGGGTCATTCGACATCTGATGACCAGTAATTTACAAAATTTCTATCAAACTCTTATATGACATTGGTTTCATCTCATATTATGACCGATTACATTTGTTTACAATTGCATCAAGCGTGTCAGTGGTTCGATGGTAGAGTGCTCATTGCAACGTATGCGGTCCGAGTTCAATTTCTGACCAATGTACTCCTAAACCTCACTTTGTTGGCAATAAGCCCAATAAGGAGGGAAGGTTGGTCATAGGGTTAGTATAACAAATGCCATAATAACACAACACCACCGCTACTTGTACTTCAAAGCTCATGCTTGAAGCCCGATGTTCCACCGGAAACATAAAGGAATCAACAAGAATATATTACAATAAGTGATTCTCACAGGTCGTGATCGTGTACAGGAACTCTGATAAATTCAGCTTAGAGGTAGTCACGCCTGAGTAGAAGATCTCAATCCAGTTGCTAAGCTTATTATAAATGAATTAATTTCAAGACACAGATCTTGCCATGGTTTGATATCAGTTAGAGAAACACTGAGAACCAAAGAGGACCGGACAGCTGTTTCATTTATTAGACCAGCCCCAGTGTTTGGATTATAATATGAGATAACCGTGTAACCTAAAAGCTTTCACCCCAGTCTTTCTGGAGGTTGCCTATTTACACCACTAGAAATTGGTAATTATGATGAAACAGCTAGTCTCTTTTCCCTCGTTCTCAGTGCTGCCTATGGCGCATATCAGCTAATTTTTGAATCAGTCTGGAGCCAATATCAAGAAGTATAATATTATAGAATTCGCTCATTACTGTCAAGATGTTCCCGACAAATACAAGAATTTATCAGTTCATTTAAATTGTTAAAACTTCATTCTAATTTTTTGACTAGTCTGTTTAGTTTTTGTCTCCCCAAAGTTGATCAACTATTGAAGTGTAATCTTAACTGAAAATCATATTGATTGAAAAAGAAGATATTTTCTACCATATAGTAACGCATACAACAATTCAAGAGGAATGATGTCATAAAAGCAACAGAATCAATAGCTAACAAATGCCTGTTATTCACTGATACTTGTAACTTCTCGATTTTCATTCCATTGATTCAAAATGGTCAATTTGTATGCTCACTATATGAGAAATGGCTGTTGTGTCTCAGTCATCTAGTGGATTTTTAAGACAGTATATGCTGGGCTTAAATCTCAGAGAGGAATGCAAGCATATCTAGGGAAATTTCGCACACCAAAGGAAAAGCTTGTTCTAGATTTAAATGCAAGTCACCACCCAACAAATTAAATTCTGGCTTTCTAGTATATTCGTTAGGCATTTTTACCTAAAAGCAACTAGAACTCCGCCCCACAAAACGTTACTTTGAAAGTTCTGCCAAAATGTTCTCTCTTTTTCATAATTACTAGCAGAACGTTTGATGTGATGCAAAACAAAGTAATGGGAAGACTTCTTTAAATCCATTTTAGATTATTACATATTTCATAATTTGTACTTCATTCATCTTTGGATTTTAACCGCAATATTGATGCAGCCCAATTTTAATACTTTACTAACAAAGACTTGTGTATGAGTTTGCTGTCAAAATAAGTACAATTTTACAAAACGAAATCTAATTTCAATCTAGTCAGACGTGTAATTAAATATTTTTTTCCTATTTAAACAACAACCTAACAATAAGAAATAACTTTCTAAAATTTCCTGGTTAATATCATACATCAGAAGCCATAAAAGACTCAGGAATAAATCTAAGTGCATTGCATTTAATCAAAAGATAAACTGCATACCATTGGTAAGGATTTCGATAGCAGGTTATTAGGAAGATATCAAAATTAAACGTCTGTTTATGAGATTAAAAGCAGGACATATGTTACATATAGACATTAAAGTAATTTTCTATCCCGGTACCAAGGTAAAACAAGTAACATAAGTTAATGAAGCAGAATTTAATGAATTCATAATACTTCTGCAGAACTCTTAAGCTGAATACTTCACATACAATGATATGTGAATAATATTAAAACAAGTTAATATAATAGTACTGAAAAGAGATAATTTAAATGAGTCAGGAATAATAATGAGATGGGATAAAACATTAACCATAATAATAACAGTTTATGAATAAAAGATATTGCCACGGTAGATTGAATGTGACCACCATTTCCTTCTGTGTACAGAAACCACATTTGTTAAATCTAATTGTATAGGCCTTCGCAAATGGAAGCGTTTTCCGGTTTGGTTGCCTTGTGAAAACAGTGGATGAACTGACAGAATAAATATCATCTCCACAGCCTAAAGGATATTTTTTTATTAAACTGTCTGGTACCCTGACTTCAGTCTTTTTCAGCAATTAGGGCAAATGTTCTACTTAGCCAGTAGAAAATTGCCTTTGCATTCCATCTATATATCTGTTTCCAAGAAGAGACTCAAACTGATATAAGCGGTTGGAAGTGGCGAGGACTGACGACTGGTCTTTTAGAGTTTGCTGAAGCACTCACTAAGGTATACATACTTTGCAGCATAATAAGTCTTTCTAATAGTTTAACTACTTCTTGTAAGTCATCTCCTTTGAATGATTAACTGATATATGCAGGTTTCTGTGAGACGGTTTGGGTAGTTTTTTCTCTTATCTCCTTAGAACACTTATTGATAACCCTCTCAGGATATTCATTTTAGATAAATACGCTTCAGGTTCTTTACTTTAATGCTTACATTTTTGTGCTCTATCGAACAATATTGTGACTGCATTCCTTTTACACTGGATGGAACCAAAGCTCTTAAAATATCCATATTGTCTGGTCCATGAATTCTTTTTAAATACGGGTCTTGCTACAGTGCCATCATTCCTTTTCACCAGAGAAATATCTATGAATCTCATAGTAACATTTTCCTCTTGTTTTATTGTCGAGTTAAAATTAAGATGGCATGAGTTGAATTTTATCAATAAATTTTCTGCCTCTGACTTAATTTTACAGACGATAAAAATACCACCTATATACATAGGATGTAATTTCGTCTGCTGTATATGCTATCACAAAATGCCAGTTTCTAGGCCTGATAAGAATACGTTTGCGAAATGTGGCCCCCAAAAGACTTCCTAGTATAACGCCATCAACTTGACGGAATAGCCAGTCATCGAATTGAAATTAAATAACCTTAGTACATAGAAGTAACAATTTTCTCACTTCTGTTATTGGGATATGTGTCATAATCTTCTCTATATACATAGTCAACAGTGTCAATGACTGGAGCATCTTAAAATAGAGAAGTTACATCAAAACAAACAAGATGCCTACCAGTCAAGGCTATAACTGCTTCTGCATGTCAGTGTTTTGTCGGCAAAGAAATATTTTACGAGTGATGTTCTGAATTACTTTTTAAGTATATTATTTCAAAGTAAGATGGATTAGAAGAATCTGCGCTCATACGTATAAATAAAATTCATATGTTATTCAAGAGAGATTTACGCCACATCCGCATGCACATGTACGCAAAGAATTACAGTCCAGCATTTCTTT